AAGCCGATGCTGTGACATGATGCCGTTGTCCTTTGTGAAAACCCGGCACAGTGCAGCTGTGTGGGCAGCATGAATGGCGTGGCAACAGTGGAGAAACAGGTGGCTTGAGGTGGCCTAGATGGCTCCAAACCTTTCCTTGCTGTAAGGCTCCAGCCACTACAGGTGCTGAAGAAAATCTTTTCTAAAGCTCAGTCTAAATACTGAAAGAAAATCCCAATATTCCCTTTTCTAAATGAATGAAGAGAATCCATTCCTGGTAAACAGGCTCTCTGTGTGAACACCGGGGATGTAATACTGGTTTGTAAATTAACTCTTCTGCCTCTTCATCCTCTTGCTCTCCCAGTTAACTTCCAAAGTAAAAACCCTCCAGCTGTTGGTAGAGGGAAGCAGTGGGGAAGAGGGAAACTTGCCCTTCGTGTCTGCATGTGCTTGAAGGGAAAGGAGAGATGAGGCTAAAGGCTAGCTCATGGATGCTGGTGAATTGAAAACTAAGGAAGTTCAGGTCTCATGCCAGTGCTTCAGAAAAGCTGGCTTGTACCGCTTCTTCCTCGATGGACGTATCCACTGCTGTTAGCCAAGGCAACACTTCAGTGCACTTGGAAGCTCTTGGAAGAGGATTATTTTCTTGCCTCTCCTTTCTCTTTTACTATCTTGTCTAGCTAAAATCAGGATTATGTTAAGAATAGCAGCTACTGGTGAGGACTCCCCATCCCAGAGTTCCCCTAGGGGAAAGATTACAGTTTCAAGTTAGATGAAATACTGACAGGAGTTCAAAAAGTTATAAATTAGTCACCAATTAAATTTGACTGCAAACTGGAAGGCTTCTTCTGATTTGAGGAATTAAGTCCTGGAGCATCTGTCTAAACAGCGTAGCAGAGGCAAGGGTCCTAGCTGGTTTAGGATGATGCTCAGCAAGATTCTGGAAAGGAGTGTATGACAGGCTAGAGGAATGCCTGTAAAGGGCAAATTAACTTATGATAGTAGCCAATCTTTAGTGCTCACTAAAGGAAGGAAATGTTTGCTGCTCAAGTCAGGAGCAACTTCAGCAACTTCTTGGTCCCCCCTGCCCTGCTGTGAAGGTATACAGGCCAGTTTCCAGGAGCACAGATCCTGCTCTTCCCCTGTAGCACACTATAAGCATTGCTTCTCCTCTCGCTGTTGGTCCTGGTATTTGCTGTTGGGGTCTGGGCAAAGTTTGTGGATTTTTTTTTGTAGTGACTGAAAAGCTCTCCTCTGAGCTCAGCGGGACCAGTGAGCTCCAGGCTGAGGCAGGGAGTCTCTGGCTGTATGGGCTCACAGAGAAGTTAGTGGGAAGGAAGAGGGTTAGGATTTCAGAAGGGCCTTTTTGCTTGTGTGTAACTTTCTTCAAAGGGATGCACCTTAGTTTTTTTTTCTCTTTTTTTCCTCTCTACACTACAAAGTTTACAACAGAAGATGAGCAAATTAAGTTCAAGTCTGCCTCCCACACTCCTTCCCTCCCTCCCCAAAGGTGCAACTTGGGACAGATTTCAGTCTCAGCTAGTGATGCTGGCATCACTGCTGTGATTGCTCTGTCTCTCGCCCCACTAAACTACTTTTACCTTTTTTTTAAAAAAAAAATATTTAATGTGGGGCCTGGTGCCAAAATCCTTTAGCATTGTGGGAGGGCGTTATCATCTCCTAACAAACTACTCCTCAGTGCTTTCAGGGAAGACTTATGCTGTGGGCTCCGTACTTGAAGAGGCTGGAGCAATTAGCTGAAGTTGTATCATTTAAAGACATTACAGACTATCCCAAAGAAGCCATTCCTTGTTAGTGAGTAGTTTTGGAAAATGATTAGTACAGCATTTTTCTGTATGTTTGTATGTTCTGGGGTTTGAGTAAATCCAGCTAATGTTCATACTGCCACAAATACAATTTACAGCTGATGGTCTCTAGAGAACGCAGACAGTGATGGGTGGAGGTAAGGAGCCAAACCGTTCACCTAACTATTCACATGGAAAGAAAATGCACAATAAAGGCATGTGGTTTGGTGAGACTGCCTAGCTATGTGTTGGATTCAGGAGATGTCATAGGTGGAAAAAAATAGCTTGAATGTCAATAAGTGGTGGATAAACGAGTGTGTGCGTGTATGAATGTCCAAAACTGAACTTTCAATGTCCCGAGTGGAAGCAGCTGCTCGTGAACTACAACTGGTACGAGGCCAGTTGTAAATTTTACTAGCACCTGGACTAAACCCAAGTGGCATATCCCAAATTCTCCAGTGAACAGGGGTTGTGAGACATGAGCAATGGTGAGGAGTCTGCTTGTGCCTCATCCTCCTACACGCTGACGTTTGGACTGGGAGAACCAGGGCCTGGCAACTCCAGGAAGAGGAGCTGGTGCCAAAAAGAAGGGCTTAAAAAACCCCAACAAACCCAAAACAATGGTCTGGGAAGAAGTTTAAGACCTTGGCTGGAGGAAAGATCCTGGAAGTGAGGGCTCTGCAGGTAGACAAATGCCAGGAGATGACGAGGGCTCTCAGGCAATCTCACCATTGGCTTATTAATAAGCACCTTTATGTCCCAGGGGAAGACAAAACCAAAACCATTTGGCACATAAAGATGAGAGAATGGAATAATTTATACGTACTGTCACTGGTGCAAAAGAGTCTGGGTTTTTCTTTTTTTTTTTTTTTTAACCTTTTATTTATTTTTTTAGAAAAGAAATAAACTCTGCATGGTAGAGTATACGGTATATAATTTCAAAACAGAACAAGTGATATGGAATGGATTATTTTCCCAAACTATTTAAAGTTGAACCTAAAATCATTTGTAAATCAACACTCATTACCATATAAGACAAAGGAAAACAATCAACATGTTTTTTGTTTGGTACAGATTTCCTCTACCACTTCAGCCTGAATTTTCCCAGGGTTGGGGAGAAAAGGGGGGCAAATCCTGCCCGTTGTCCTAACCATAATTGTACTGACCAAGCTTTGTGCTCTGAGATCTAGCATCATATGGCTTTATATACGTTCCTAAGTGAACAGTGCAACATCATCACCATCTTAAGTGTTTATTCCACATTCAAACTGTAACTGAACATCACTCTGAAACTCCTTTCCCGCCCCAAAATCAACAACAACGAAAAGCAGAAAGTCTCCAGCAATCAGATTTCATTCCAGAAATCCGTGTAAACTGTAGATCAGGATTGGGTAGCAGCACAGAAGACAAAAGATGTGACAGCGTGATTCAGTAGCGTCTCTAAAGACTACTGTAAGACTGTCATTCTTTAGTCTGCATCTTGCAATCACAATTTGCTTTTTCCCTGCAATACTATAAAGCAACATAAAAAAAAAAAAATCAGACTCAAAAGCAAAAGGTAGAAGCCTTTACAGAAAGGTAAAGCTTCCACTTAGCCTTGAGTGGTCGCTATTAGAAACAGATCTCTGCGATCAGAAGCAAATCTTGAACGTATATACATGATTTCAGTGGAAAGGGATGCAGCCAAGGATGGAAGCCCTTCTAGCAGACCCGCAGACCCTTGGCCTGTAGGTCAACACTGCACTGGCTTTTTGGGCTGAATAAACTGGCAGGGCAGCCATAGGTGTTAGGTGCGCTCCAGGCTCTCTGTTCCTTGGCTGCATGGGGGCCGGGAGGAGGAGGAGGAGAGAGCAGGAGCGCTGAGGGCCCCCCCTCCCCTCGCTCCGCAGTCGACCGAGTGATGCGTGGGTTGCAGCGGCGTGGGGCGTTGCACCGGGGAGGTTAAATGCATGCTTTTCTCTTTACCCCCTCCTCCCCAATCCTGTTGGAATGTATCTATATCAGTAATTAGATAAGTACGAATAATAACTGTAAGCTAGCACAGTCACCCTCCCCCTGAAAATGGAGGGTGAGCAACAGCATCAAAGTCCCATTTGTCCTGACGTGTGTAACCTTTCCAGATCCTCCAGAGCAATCATACGCAGGCGATTTTCGTACTAGAATTTAAAGGAGTCAAAGCTGGTAAAGAAACTGGATGTTTCCTGGCATAACTGAAGGAAATAATAAAACTGATTAAAGTAAGAGCGAAAGAAAGTAAGCATTACTGTGTTCACATCCTCTGGTACATCCCACTTCTTTACGTTCTGCTCACAAGCCCTTTCCATACTCTGAGCAAGCACTCCCAAACTTAGAGAGGTAAGGCTTCAGCTAAAATCTCACAGTTGAGATTTTTTTTTTTTCAATACAAATACCATAAATGTAAGTATTTGACTTTCCAGGATCCGTGTGGGGCATGTCGAGGGCAAGGCTTGTTAAGTGAACCAGCACAGGAGAAGACTGGACAGGGGTGTAATCCCACAGGATAACAGCAATTGAACGATGTCCGTAAGCATGGCGCTAGCTTAGTGTGGATGTAGCATTGGGGAGCTTGGATGAATCCCTCCAGCTTTCTGGGTGTCCAGTCAGAACCAGGGAAGCTGCAAGAAGTTTTACCATAAAACTCCAGTACTGAAATGTCTAAAGGAACTGGACTTCTAACTTCAATGGGCACTGATTTTAGGTTTTGCACAGTCAATTCTAGTTAAAAAACCAAAACCGTAATAGCTGATGCCCCTGCTGTTGGAGCCTTAAGACACCTGTTATACTGCTGAGCCCTACTCTTTTTTTTTTTTTTATAAAACACTGTTTTAAGATAGAGCACAATAAATGTGCTTATTACGCACTCTAACATAGAGCACAGAAATACAACACTACAGAGTGCAAGTCTAACCATCTCCACAGTGGGAAAAGTGCGAAGGTTAAAAATATGCATGTGGCTTAACACAAGATATTTTTAAAAAACATGACATGGAAATCTCATACTAATGCTTTCATCTTTATCACAAACATGACTGAAAACTTAAGGTCAGTTGCTGATCCTTCTCTCGTAGTAGCAGTAGTAGTGTAATCCTTTCAAAGGTACGACATTGGAAAGATCAGAGAATAAAAAACCCAAGTGTCCAAAAATGATCCCATTTACCACTTTTTCAGTAGTTATGTTTTTCAAGAAGTAAACACGTAAGGTCACCTTGATCTTCGCCATCGGAAACTGATACACTTGGAAACAGCTAAGCCAACCACCTGGACCGAGATCAGTTCAGTGTCGCACACGCACACGCACACGGATACGCACACAAACACCCCACAGGAAAAAGTGCACTTTCAATTGCTGATACAAAAATAGATTGGCACATTCTTTTTGACACAGTGAAGATATCCTCTTTAAAAGCTTTTTCACAATGTTAAGAAGTCCTTTTGGAAGTTGCAGCAGGTCTGTAGAAAAAGCGCTATGAGAATGCACTCGCGTGGGCTTCCAGGGTTTGTGTGATGGAGAGAGGGGTGGTCATGGAGGCTGCCCTTCTAATTTTTGCCTACTTTCACAGCTGTAGTCCCCTCAGGTAGGGTCAGTCGCCACCCAGTTTCAGCACATTAACCATTTACCAACAGCTCAGTCTTCACCTGCTTTGAGAAAGTAACAATAACGTAAATTTGTCAAAGCTGAGAGTCTTACGTCGACACGGTGTTTCCTATATGTTGCCGCAAAAACTGTTTCGGGGAGAGAGAGTGAAGCGTTACGAGTCCGATTTTGCATTTCCAGTAGTAACTGTGGCTCAGGAGAGCCAAGCGGGAACAGTCAGGAGCCCCTTCCCCGCAGGGCAGCCAGCGCTAGGAGTTCTGTACCAAGCGTCTGTAGTGCGGCATCACTTCGTGCTCGGGAAGGTGGAGAGCAAACTCCAAGGCCACCAGCACCGGGAACTCGAAGGCGATCAGCTCTCGCCGGTTCAGCCGGAACTTCTCTTCCAGTTTCTGCAATGACAGCCGAGGAAAAGAAGAAAAAAAAAGTCTTCGTGAATGGGGATTTGACATTCTAGCACATTCCTACAGACAACGTTATTCAAAATAGGTGTGCTGCTGTCATTAAACTTCCGTCTCGCTGGACTTGCCGGGCTCTAGGTTTAGAAAACGAGAGCAGGATGAACTGGATGCACTGATTCCTTACTGTGAAGGCGAACTTACAAAGCTCAGCCAGCCACACTATTTCTGACATGTTTGTCATTTCACTCATTCAATCTCCAAGCAGATACATCTTCTAACGATCACTGATTACCACTGCAGGAAGAGGAAACTCCCAGCTTCGCGCAAACATTGAAATCACTTGTGTAATGGAAGACATGCGTCTCATAACTGCCCAGGAACCTCCTGCACTGCTTGAAATCCATAATTTTCCTTTCAGCATTAGACTGCGCTACAACACCCTATTGGGGAAACTATTTCTGCTACAATTAGAAACATTTGATCCTAATACCTCAGAGGCAGAGTCAGCTGCAACAACCGTAAGAACAGTGAGTAATAGAAACTACTGTCCTCAGGGGGGATAAGACGGGTTCCATAGTTGGCTTTCTGCTCTAACATGCTAAACTTTCCATCTGCTTTGCTGTTTTCACTGGATTTGGATGCTGCAAGCAGGCAACTAGCTGTTCAGGGATATTTCCACCCTGGTCCTCTCCTTACAATCTCCCTGGCTTGCTACTTCGCTGCTCACTGGGTCTACTGAAAAGCTCAATGTGTCTTAAGGATGGACCAGTGTTTGAGGGGGATAGCAAGAGAGGCCAGATCTTCCAACTCCCACTAGGTTGATTATTTTTCTGCTTATTCGGAGAGCTTTCTAACAAACGAACTGCCAACTCAGCTCTGTGGCTGTGGTGGAAGGGGATGAATCCAGTTCTGCCCCGCAATCAAGTTTCCATGTCTCCTGAACTAAGTGAGTTGGTTGTAGCCAAGTAACCAGCAACCTGCCCTAACTTTTGGTAGCGTTAAATCAGATTGGTATCTCGGTGCTTGCAAAGGGATTATGGAGTAACACTCCCCTCTGTTAACTCTTTCCTATGGAGCGAGTGGAAGACCAAACACTTTACAAAAAAACAGCTGGGGTGAGGTGTTCTAATGGGAATGCTTCTTTAGGTTTTCTTGCCCAAAAGCTTAACTTGACGAAAGAATTACAAACTTGGTAGTCTAATAGACTCCCTCTGAAATTAGTATGTGCATTTACCTCTCAAAGGAGAGTCCTTACTGATAGTCTTGAAAACATAATTAGAAGCAACACGAATTTCCTGAGAGTTAACTTTTGACATGTATTGACAGAATGGTGGTCAGATACCTCTCAGCATCTGACACACTAGTGTCTTCAATTGCATCAAACGAGCTTTCCATGCCTCTGCAGTGACATTGATCACTACTACATCCACATAAATGTATAACAAAAAAACATATTTAGCTGGCTGTACAGGTAGAAACCTAGAGGAGAGCATGACCACTGACAACTAGGCTTGCGCAGACCACACACTGGGACTTCATGTAGAAGGAACATTGGAAACCTATGGATACGTACATCTATAAGATGCTTGACTTCATGTTTTCTGAGGTCACTGCCAATTTTGGCTGCTAAAAGAACACAGGCTCCAGCACAAAGCTTTCTATTCTGCTTGTTCAGCTTCCCCTTGAGAGCGAGCTTCTCAAAGTAGACAAAGGCCATGGCCACTGTGGGCTCTTCGAAACCACATTCTTCTTGAGCAAGCTTGCGCATTTCTCTCTTCAAGCTGAGTAAAGAGATCAAACAAGTATGCTGTGATCTGTGTTTTAAAGCATTTCTCATTTCACCCTAAGAGTCATGCTTTCAGAGATTCCTGCTTAGTCAAATGGAGGGGAAAACAAAACCATAATTTACTGGCAGACATCTTTATGCTCTGTTTTGGGGACACATTTCATGGCACATTTTGACCTCACCCTTTCCCCCTCACTGCCCCCAATAGAGTTGTGTCAAACTGTAACAGCAACTGAAAAGCTTTGACATTTTTAGTAACGATATTTCATCAGAGGTCTTAAGCTACAATTTATTTAGTAACAGCTTGATTGCTGGTGCTCTATATGCAGCTTTGCTGCTGGTTATGGTTAGTCAAATCCAAACTGACAGTCTTTCCATGTGCTGCCGTATTGTCTGGTTACGCAGCAACACGGCTCAGGATCCTTCTGGCCACTTCAGTCAAATGAAATTATCATTACTTCACTGAAGCAATATATCTAGCCTGCTACACTGGAAACAGTGATGTAATACTACAACTTTGCTGTGAAGCTGACCACTTGTTTTGCTGCTGGCCATGCTCTCTGGACAAGGTGCAAAAGTCGACATTTCTCTTTCCACAGCCTCTTTTTAAGCTAAGTCATTGCCAAACCCCTGTTCATTATCTTTGGGCAGTGTTATTTTTCCGTATTTTATAGTATAACGTGTGTCCAGCTCGCATGCTCGACCCACTAGATGCCGTGTTTGACACCTCACTGGTGCGTGTTTGTACGCTCCCGACCTTGTTTACTCAGCCCACTAATGAAAGCAATTATCTGACTTACTCTGCACCTCTGCCGGTCACTGCTCCTGGAAGATCAGTCAGTGCTGTGCTTGCCCTCATGTGCAACAGCAATTGCACTGAAATGTAAGACAGCTGCATCACGTTGCAGCCTTACCAAGCTTTGCAACGTACCTTCTTATTTTACTGAGGGTTAACTTGATGTGAGGGAACTTCTCCTTAAAGGTCTCATTCATGTCCTTCTTGAGATCTGATGGTTTCACGTAGTCTATGACTGTGGTCTGTAACACATAGTCAAAAGAGAATGACTCTTTTAGTTTGTAACAAACAAGATCACTCAGTTCCCAAAAGCAAGGAATACCAAACGAGTGCTAGTCAGTCCCAACGCTTTCAGTAGAGGGGAAAATTAAGACTGAATTAAAGCAACAATTTGTTTGTGACTGCTCCATCAGAGCAGTGTGACCTGAAATCTGAGATGACTGATCAGCACAAGCCCTGAACAACACATACCTTACTCAGATCCTCCAAGTATCACTAAGAGTGAGTTTAAGCTAAACGTGGGTGGATAAAACCTAGCTGAGAAGTCTTGTTAAACCAAAATAAATCACCACAGTAACTGATTTGATGACCAGATTTTGTGAAAAAGGAGAAAGCCACATCAACCCCCTTCAGCCACCCCTGCTGCCCTGCATGCGAATGGATGAGCCAGAGCGTGGGTCTGGCCAATGCTGCTGTGCCATTGAGGTTAAAAATTCATACGCTGTCTTGACACTGAGGCAGGAAACATGCTACCATGCCTGAATAAAAGGAAGAGAGGAAAAGACAGGGAGGAGAAATCTTGTCCTGCTTGGGGTTGGAGAGAAAGGCTTCTAGTGAATGTGTGGGGTCTGCCTGGTTTTAATCTTGCTGAGGTTGGAAGGAGGCACGCACGCACCCGTACGGCCGTGGCTCTTTGTCGCCGACAGCTTCTCATGTGCTTCATCTCACCTGGCAGGGCTCAGTCCTCCGAAGTAGAAGAATGAAAATCTCATCAATTACTCCTCTCCTTTCTTTCCCTGGGACATCGCTGCCTGCCTGTCTGCTCCTTGGTTTTGTTGCCAGATGATCATCAGCAAATTGGGTGCTTCTGATGCTTATACAGATACTCTGGGTGTTTATGTGTTATTAAGAGAGTTCCTCTTAGTACTGCTCTAAGAGAACTATTAAAACAAGCCACATAACATAATTTAGACCAGTGCCATCTGCTACTCAAAGTACAGAAACATCCGTCCACGCTGCTCTTACTTCCAGAGTCATGAGACACTGAGCACATAAAGGCTACCCGCTATTAAATCTAAAGATGATTTTAATTACTACCAGCGTTTTTTTGGTTGTCTTGGGCAATTCTAGGTGCTACTGTGCAAAGGGACACAACACCTTATTTCATGCTTCACTGCAAACCTAACTGCCCACTGTTTGCTCTCCATTACCACGGAGCTCCTTAGTTTTGTCTTAATTAACTCCCTCCAAGTGATCACGGGTTTTTCCGGCAGACTTGCCTTTGGTTCTCTCCAGGTAATCATCTTCCCTTGCACAGAGGAGGATGCAATGACGCATGGACCTCGCGTGCACAACGGAAACCACTTTGCAGCAGAAAGGGTGCAGCACTGGACTCAGCTGAAGGACTGCACAGAAATGACGCTGGACAGCAAGTTTCAGTTGCTTTCACCTCTTAACAAGTAGGTGCCAGCGTGACCCCAGCTGTGGGGGTGACTGTGCAGAGGGGCAGCGAGCCCCTGGCCTCTGCCACACAGCCGCAGCAGCAGCCCCCCAGGGTGCACCTTTCCAACCCCAGCCCCTCTGCAGGCACCGTCTGTTTTACCTGGGACGCCTCCAGCCTGTGGGAGATTTGCCAGGATTCCGCTAAATTCTCTTTAGAAGGAGAAAAGCTCTTTTTATAAATTTTATTTAAAGCAAAGCACTTAGAGGCTTGAGAATAAGCAGACGGCTTAAAACTGAAAATGGTAAAGAGGTAGGGCTATTTTTAAACACAGAGATTTGTCAATTTTGTCCTGTTGATAAGAATCTCCCCCCTCCAACTCCAAATACTGCTGCTTCCTGTGAGACAACAGTCTCCACGATATAAATCACAATAATGAAATCCAGATGAAAGCTGGTGTGTGCTGGTTTTGATTCACGTAACAGGAAAACAGCAGCATGTTTTAACACACTGGCTCTAAGGCAGCTGTCTCAGCTTGTCAGTGCCATACTGGAGAGCTCAACTAGCTGCCCTTAGTCTCAAGCAATGGAATTGGGCAACTTCTCTTTTTTTCCACCCCTTGATATTTCCCCCCCCCCACCTTGATTCTTTTTCGTAGCTGCTGCAGAAGCCTGACTTTGTCTGAGCAGTGGGATGCTGTTTGCCCAGCTGATGCCTATAGAAATGCACGAAAGTGGGACTCTGCCCACCAGAGAGGCAGACAGAATAAAAAAATAAATAAATGAAACCTATCTGTTGACAGATAAATTGAAAGCAATGCTGAATTAATGTCTGTTGAGTGATCAAATCAGTTACCCCTTCTAAATATTTCCGACCAGGCACCCGAGCACTCCTCTCGTTGTACAGCACCCAAGAGGCTACATAGAAATCGCCGTCCCTGACTCCACTCCTGTCCGGGACACCTCCTGCACCCCGCGAGCAGCTTAACACCTTAGCACCTCCCAGCTGCTGTCCCTGCCCATGAGGGATGGAGCAGAGGAAACCTCTGGGGTGGCCCAGCAACCCAGAAGGACCAGCTGGGACCCTCCTGCTGACACAGGCAGGCTCTGACCTAATGTCATCCTTCGCTGCCTGTTCTCTGCTCAGCGTTTACGCTTCTCTACTCTGTTTTAGGGCACTTCATTGCATTTTAGGGCACTTCATTGCATTTGAGCTGCCTGCGAGTCCCAGACGAAGCTTCTATGATTCTCCCATCATGCTGAGGAGAAGATATGACTGTAAATGGCGTGGACTTTTGTCTGTCCAGAACAAATCTGGCATTGCCCATGCAGGAGCACCGTTTGACATCCATGTCCCAAATTTTATGAATGATTTGCAAATATTTCCTTAAAAGGAGCACAGCATTTTTCTACCCAAACATGCTTTCTTACACGTAATGTTATTCCCTACCAGGCAGGCACTCTGCGCTCCCAGAGCTGCCAGACACACGAGCAAAGCGCTGGGAACTACCAAACTGTCTCTCTCATTCTCTCATCTCAAATGTTTGTAACTTCTGTCATCTCAAAACGTCTGGCTTGTTTCTCACAGCTTATTTGCACGAAACACGTTTCACTTCAGTATTCAACAATACTCCTTCGTGAGCTCTGTTCGTGTTCTCTGTATACAAATCTGTGTATGTGTATCTTTAGCTTGGCGATGGAAGTTGCACAAGACAAATGAGGGTCTTGATACATGGTAGCTGACAGATGCCTGGACAACATGATGAATGGTCCAGCCGAAGTCTGTACTCTGCTCACTTTTTGCATGGCTGGCAGTTTTGAACTTGGAGGTTAGCTTGCGTGTTATTCACAAGCGTTTTCAAGCAGCTGCTTCCTCATAGGAAAGCTGTATATATAGTTTCATAAATATAGGAGGAGGGAGGATGCCTGAAATGGTTGGGAAGACTGGCAAGATGAAATATTGTTGAAAATAAATCCTACTCTGGCATGCTACCAGTAAATGATCTAGCCTTGAATGCCTCTATCTACTGCTTAAGAAGGGTAAAATCAGAACAAAATAGGTGAATAAAATGAAAGGTGTATATGACAGGCTCTTTTCAGCTGTCATTACTGTGTACCCCTGATAAATCTACTTCACAGAAAGCAGACGGAGGATGGATAGGTTGAACAGATTTTCAGTAGGTCAATGGTAAGTTCTCAATCACATATCAAATGAAAAGAAGTCAACAACTCTGCACTGCCTGGTTACCTTAATGCATACCATAGGTGACTGGCTGTGTAGCTATAAACTGACAGTAACCTCATGTATATATACATGCTGAAGGTGCATATATATGGGAAACCCTGCTAGAGCAGAGGCTTAAAACAGTAATGGAAAATGGGAGCGACTTCTTCTTTATGATTAAAAAAACAGAAAAAACAGGAAAAGGAAGACGAAAAGATATTTCCATTGTTAGAAAGTTATTAAAATTTGAGGAACTTAAACGGAAAGATTTAGAATTTCACTAAGCAAATAATCTCAAAACTGCCTCTTTCAATTAAGGTGCATGGAAGGGCGCCAGTTTATTTTATACGGTTAACACACTGGAATCATTTGCAATTAATACAGTGTGGCACTGTTACAAAACAGACATTTATTGGAGTCTCAGCCAAATACAGCATCAAATGCATAGAGCACAGGGTTTAAATACGAATATATATACCACCGTGGTGATACTCTGCTCCCTGAGACTTTTGGGTACAAGGTCAGCAGCTGATAAAAAAGCAGTTTGGGGATGCTTAATTTACAACTCCGGAAGCGGCTGGAAGAATAGGGTGACGGCAGCAAAGGATGTTTGCTGTAGCCGAGTACTCCTGACCTTGATGCTCCTTGTGAGAGACAGAACAGGGGAGCGAGAGACCGAACGGGCTGTATCGTTGTGCAGGGCTTTTGTTAAGACTAAACGGCCAGGGCAGCAGGCAGTTCTAACTTTAAAATCACATTGGAGGACTAATATTTAATAACGCAGCCTGGCTGTGCTTGACACTAGTCCTGGCAAACACAGGCTGACAGTCAGCCCACCGTAAGAGCACTGTGGGCTTTTGTGACATGCTTTTTTATTAGTGGCGTAGAGATGTCAATTTATTTTGACGTAATTAAACCAATGCACTGAAATCGTAGTTAAGTGCCCAAACCGATTTCCACGTGCATCCCTCGGGTGTGGACAGATGGATATCGCAGGGATGTTATTACAGAGGCGTCGCTCAAAGTCTAGACGCTACTGATCTGGGCTTTTCTTCTTTTGCTACAAGTTTTGGCACAGCACGCAGCAGCCAGCGAACACGCTCCCGTGTTTCTGTGTTACCAACAAAAGCAGGACCGCGGAGTCAGCCTCACGCCTGTTGCAGAGAGAGTTTTCTCCTCTTGCACGGAAGGAGTTTGTTTCTGCTGGCAAGAATGGCGGGAGGCCAGGGAGGCACTGGGCTCTAGCAAAGAAATTACTGCTCTGTCTGGTAGATAAAATTCCTGTTCTAGAGAGATTTAAGAATCTGCAAGAATTCCTGTTTTAGCAGTATCAGCCAGGAAGACATCTGTTAACTGTGACATGATGTTTCCCTCCTGCCTCCGCCCCCTAGCATGAAATTTTTCTACTTCTTACTGTTTATATTGTGGCAGAGATTGTAGAGTCTCCTACAAAGACAACACAAAGCGAAATGATTTCTTCAGGGCAGACCAGAATTTAAATATGACTAATACAACTAATAGAAGCTGTAGAGTTTGCACTGGGAAAGTATTGAAGCTGTTTCTTCAGAGTCATCCCCTGACAGGCTGTTTGTGGGTATTACTTTTAGAAATGCGACAAGGAAGCATATACTCTTTCAAGCCAGGAACTTCATCACAAAAACAAAAAAAAAAAAAGACCAAGCCGAAAGCACTTCTCCTTCCCCACAGCTATCTTCAAGGAGGAAGCTCAGCTACTCCTTGAAAACAGCTGAGGCTCACAGTTAAAAATCCTCTGCAAGTTAGGACGAATTCAGCTCAGTAAAATTACAAGACTATGAAGTCAACGTCAGCGATGATAAACTCAGGCTCCACAAGAACCGAGGGAACTGCATGTCGTGTGCTAACTGCACGTATTTCAGAGTAAAATCTGAGCCGGACCGCACATTTTGTCCGTCTTACGCCTCGGGATAAAGCCCGCAGTATTTACCGATGCGGCGTTCACACAGACCTCGACAGCGTCTTACCAGCGGAGCAATCCTGGCCGGCAAAGCACGTGCCGGGCTCGCGCTGGGAGGAACATCGATGCGTGCAGCCCTGTCCCGCAGCCAGCGCCGCAGCCCAGCATCCAGCCTCGCTCATCTGCACCGCCACGCGTTCGCCTTCCTCTCGCGCACCTTCCCCCTGGTTAATCGCTCTGACATCCATAAAGAGGAGGGGCGGGGGGAGGAACATCTACAAGCTTGCAGCTGCCAAGCATTAACACTAATTGCCAGCCAAGTAATGAAACTTGAATGACAAGCGGCAGCTCTCCACACACAACAAAACGCTCGGCACTGGCATCAGCCGCTCTCCGCTGCTCCAGCCTTTGCGAGAGGCGGGAATTGCAGCTCCATTCTGCTCAGGACCAGAGACCGGTTTCAATCCGCGTACAGCAGCTCTACAGCTCCACGGTCACTTGGCAGAGGTCTGTCCCTACCGCGACGGCTGTGCGCGGCCCGGAAAAAAAACAGATTTCTCGCCGGCCTCAGACTGCAATTTGCTTTAATTGAAGCATATGCTGATTTTTATATTTGGGGATGAAAATGACTTGAAATTACAGCCTATTATGTTCCTGTTCACACTGATGTGAACTGCAGAGAGGGGGAACGCCAGCTGAGTCAGGCAAGTCTAATCTGGATACAAGCCAAGTCTCCTACATAGCCAATATGGCCCTATCTTCACCAGCTCGATGCACAAGCCCTCCTTACCAGCAGCCCAAGTTGCAAAATCCTATATACCTGCAAGCTCCCAGGACACTCCTGCACTACCTTTTCTCCCTTCTCTCAGCTGAAGGAAGCACCAGCCCCTTGGGAAGTCTCTCAGCCAAGCACTGAAGAAAAACCATCCACTTTTCTGCTGCTTGCAAAGCTGTGCAGCTCCTGCGTGGTGGCATCACAACCACGCTGCTTTGATTAGGGGCAGGCAAAATCCTTGGACCTTGGACAGGAGAGCTCTTGGCACGTGCCAGGTATTCCCACCAACAAAAGAAACACGGCACTTAATGTCCTTCAGCCCTTTCATAGATTAGTGTCTGCCTTCAGAAAGGGAGATGCAATGCTGCAGACCCTCAGGCAGTGCTGAAGAAGTGATGGCTGGAGGGCAAATTCAGCCAAAAAAACCCCAAAACGTGAAATAAGGCATTTTTCCAGACACAGCAGTAATTAACCCCTGAAAATGAAAAAGCAAGAACACCTGTCAATGCAGATACATTCTAGACAATGACATTGATTTTAACAATTGCCCTTGAAGTCCATTTTTCACCTGTAAAGCATCTAATCATACCTCTGTCACAGAAGAAATCCCCACTCAGCTCCTTATTGCAATAAAAGTACTTCACATTGCTGTGGCTAACCAGCATGTGGAAAAGAAGGACACTGAACAACCGCTATTGGGTGGAGACCTCACCTGACCTATTTTGGCTCACCCAACCCCATCTATCTCAACATCAAGTTGAAAAGGGAACAAAGACCTCAGGTGATCTGAGAGGACTCTGATTGCCTGGTGTACATTCGCAGCCTGAGGAAGGTCAGAAACACAGTCATGACTGCTAAAGGTATGTCCACTTTGGATGTCCACTAATGATGTCTTTCTCTTTGAGGGAAGACAGTTCCCTGGCCATGACAATAACCGTATCAAAACCTAACAAATATTTTCCCATCCAGATGTAGCTGCCATAAAAGGTTGACACTTTGTGGGTTGGCAGCCGAAAAATAACTTGCCAACCCTAAAAGTTAAACTGGCTGAAAGTAAGCAGAGAACATACTGGACTTCCCATTTGAAAAGGTAGCACAAACACAGCCTCGAAGATGAATTAGGCCTTTCTGTGCAAGAGGCAGAACACTCCTGCCAGCAAGGAGATAAGCTTCAATCTGCATGAAACACTTAAAATCCGTTTATGTTGAAGAAGGAGCACCCAGGAGCCCTATAATCAAATAAAGACCAGGGTGAGGGACAGAAGAGAACCTACAAAGACTGTATCTTTAAATACATTAGCAGTTTCTTAAACAATATCTTCTGTTTCAAGTTAAGTGAGGACATGGATGACGCTTTAGAGCTCAGTGTTTCAAATCCTATCCTATCTGTATATAGGATATATAGTATTAGGTCACTACTTTGGGGGAAAAAAAAAAAGCAGCTTTTTCCTGCTGCCAACTACTATTCTGGATGTGTAATTCAGATACATGCTCATACGTATACGATGGCACTGCATCTTGCAACAGTCCTGCCAAAATAGCACACCAAAGTCTACAGGCTTGGTGCAACCGAATAAAGGCTACACAAGTCTCTCACCACAGAAAACATTGAGTGAGAGCACAGATCAAGGAATATGTGCCCATTTACGAGTTTGGATAGAGTGAAAAATATACAGGCTCTGCTGGTAATCGCTGCAATTAAAGGAAGGACTATCCCCTAACCTGGGAAACAAAAGCTCTACCAGATACCGAAGTGCAGTTCCAATGAGTGAATGATAAGCATCAAAACACAATGCAGCTTCATGACTTCAGAAAAACCCTAATGGGCATCCTCCTATTTTGTGATAGATGCCAATTAGAGGAAGTATAAATTTTCCTTTGAATGCGAGAGAATGAATGCATTGTTCAAACAAGCCTTTCATCTAAAGCATTTATGAAATACAGCGGTAATAAAAGCGTTTACTTTTGTAATACCTCCACGAGTTTGTTTTCACATGTCCCAGTAAGTAATTGTCATTTAGAACAAAGCATTCCAAACAGCTGTTATTAGTAAAGTAGTAATAATAATAATCTTCTTAAAATACAGTCAAATGTAACCTCAACCTTCAAAATACTGTTACCAAAATTTATCTGTACTACACCTAATTTTGCAAATCACTTACCATATATGAAGGAAATATTAAAACGCGCTTATGTTTGCCACATGGCCATTGGGGATCATCTAAAAGATTTGGGTCGTATTCGACGAAGTCTCCCAGGTCACTACCTATAAAACAATGGTAAATACAAGAAAGGAATTAATTACCTCACGAAATCTCTGGACTTAACAGAAGTGGCAAATGAGTTCACAGATAATGCACAAGATGATTTTCATGCAAGATTTGAAAGAGTCAAAAGATTTCTCTAAATCTTGAAAACTCTAAGTATTTCAGTACTAATACAATTTGCGAAGACACAGAGGACCTACAGCTTATGAATTACCTGGAAATGTGAATTCAGGGCTTAGAGAACTGCAAAATTGTATAAAGCTCAACAATGACTTTTATTCCCAGCAGCAAGTTTTCATCTGTTTATGCAGATGTTTCTATTTGTTTCATTTAACGTGCCAAACTATCTTAAGCATATAGTGCTTTGGCTTATGCTTTGTGCCTGGTTTTGTAAACACAGCCCTTTCCAGCCTAATAAAGGTCACAAGTATGATTTACACCTTCAGCTTATGACTACCGTGTTGCCACTGTAAATTTTCCATAGCAAAGGAAGGTAACGATAAGCCTGATGCAGGAGGAACAAACAATGCCGGTGACAGGAGGCGGCACGCCGAGTGCCATCAGGGGCTGTCAATACAACCAGCAGTCTTGTTTACTCAACTTTCCAGCATCTGTAAGCCAGCTTTGCTAAACAAAAAGGGAAGGAGCTGTGTTTCGTCCATGATATGAGACTATGTTTTGCTTAATTTAAGCAAAAAAGGGGGCTAAAACATATGTCCCTCTTTCACTATAACTGCCTATCCCCAGGGTATGCCAGGACATTAAACCAAGGTTCTTGAGAAGTTACCTGCATCAATGCTCCCCTGGGTGCTGTTAGCTCTTGCCAAAGAAAGGCTACGATGGCTTGCATTGCGAAATTGGGAGAAGGATGAGGTGGAGTCTATTGTGTTCCTTCGAGTTCCCAGAGCGTTGGTGGGAAATAGGAACTGCGTATAAGAAACCGTCTAAAAAGAAAGCCAGAACAGACAGAAAGTTACTATCAGCCCAGCTCGGCCGCAGCGCGATGCCTTTAGTGCATCCCAATTGGAAGCCAAATTAGTGGAGGATTTTCTGGATTTAATAGTTAGGCACAGATGAATAAACACCAGTCACCTACATTTGCTTCAGTGCAGTCAGTTTATCCATGCATAAAAAAAACTTTTGCAAAGGCATTAATTCTTCAACAAAATAACACCACAAACACACACAGACAAGCTCTAATACACTGGATTTACAAAATCCTACTCAAGGATCAGATTTAAAAATGTCTATTTGGTCAGGGTTTTTTTTCCAGTGGGCCTTCTCTGTAGCAGGTTTCAGCTGCTTCTTTACTGAAACATCATCATCTATATGAGTCCCTCAGCACAGAGCAGCCAGAGGCAAATCACTTCAACGCTGCTCAACTTAAGCACTTTCTCCAGTATTTTTCTCCTTCAGGATTTTGTCTGGCAGAGTTGTTGGTGTCGTAAGCGAGTTACCAGTTTACAGCAGTGGTTGTGGGAGATCATTTAATACCTCCCAACATGGACTAAGTGTGAATGAATAACTTGTGACAAAATTATTTTTAGAGCATACCAATTCTCTGCTTGCACCCTTGGCCAGGAATAGACTACGCCTTGCTTCTCCTAGGTTTATTTTCCAAAAATAACATTATATTGAAGAAAAAAAAAAAAGAGTCTCAGGCTCTAGACTGCTTTACAAGGAGGTTAGAACAGGTACCAAATAAATCATGTGAGCTTTCATTTATTTATAAGCAGACAGATTGTCCTCAGGAATTTACAGCCTGTGGTCTGGCCTGACACCTGGTTAGGTGTAGCAGCATTGACCTAGGGCCTTTAAATCCATAAACGACAGCAGACTGGGTAAACTGAACCTCAGAAAGTAAATCAGGCTTTCAGCAAAAAATGTTTTAATTTATGATTAAAATTGCCTCTCCTCTATGTATTTGTTTAGAATGGATCA